TCCAAGTATAGTTCTGGTTCAGCCATGATAAGATTGGCTACTATAAATAAGAAGGGGGTGCATCATTCAAGCCCCATCCAATTCAACACACAAACTACCCTGCACAAACCCTCGCTCTACGCGAAACCTCTCAAACATCTTGAGATTTTTATTTTCTTTTTCGCCAACATATCTTCAGTTTGGATAAACAGCACTATGAAGGCAACCGGCGACATCTTCAGTTTGGATAAACAGCACTGTTGTTGTAGAATCAACTGACCCCGGAGCACCTTCAGTTTAGATAAACAGCACTGTGTGGAGGCCGACTGGTTACCTATCTAAGTCTCGGCCAAGAAGGATTTTCAAGTTCTTGTTGGCAGAGGTTATCTCATTAGCCTTCTCAACAAAGTGAGGTGTTACAGATTATTGGGCTCAGCACATTAAAAGCCGAGTTGTTTATGATTGGATATTCACAAGTAAGTTTTAGAGTTCGGCATTCTGACGGCCGAACGACACTTACTATCAAGACATACATCTCTTTTGAGTACTTGTGTCTGTATAGTTTGGTGCCAATTCGGCGTGCTTATACTCTCACGAATATAATCACTGTGACCGAACCCGGTGCCGATGATCCGTGAACTTCGCAAGACTAGCAGCCTCATTTTCAGGCTCTAGAACCCAAAGGCCGAGACGTGTTCCTTCCTCGGCCATAGTCACAAGATCAAGAAGTTAGCAGCTCACTCAACGCAACATCAACAAATTTTACTCCCCGGCCGAGCTCGACAGTCAAGTTGGCATGCCCCGCACATAACCGAATGACATAGTTAGATTATTAATTACTCGGCCTACGCGTCACATAGGCTTGGTAGTTTTTAGGGTCAACAATTAGTATAGTTGTGATAATTATAAAAATTATCATTCAAATAATTGGAACTGTACTGATATTTTGAATACAATCACATTTAATTTAGGATATTGACACAATCTACATTGAGTTGTGGTTAGAACAAAACATAATATGCCTAGGCCACCTAATTGGGAGCCTAATTGGGATTGCATGCCAACATTCCGTTGCTTATTATTTAAATGAAGATGTTTTCCAAAAAAAAAATTAAAGATTCTATGCAATAAAGATTTTTTTGTTTGGTCAATAAAGTAAGGATGGGATTACATTAAATGGTTTGCACGTGGTCCCTTATTAGCATGGGGTGATTAGCATGCTGGAAGTGAGATAAAGTTTCAGAGACATCGTGTGATCGAAATTGCTTCTACAATTGATTATCCTAGGCTTGTCCTATGAATACATTATTTATACACAAGGTTTTGAAACGTGAAAGCCCCCATTCAACTCAACAGAAAAATCAAAACGCTCTACACGAAAACCCTCGCTCTATGTGAAATCTTTCTCACACTCCTAAGCAAATACTAACTATCCTAACCCTCCTATCAACATACCTTCAATTTGAATAAGTAAACACCATTGTATTGACAATTGGCAACATCTTCAGTTTGGATAAGTAAACAGCACTAAAGCTATAAAACTAGACGATTCAAGAGAACCTTCAGTTTGGAGAAGTAAACAACATTGCTTCTGGTCAATTGGTTATCTATCTAAGGATCGGCTGGCGAAGAATTCTATATTCTTTCGCCTAAAAAGGTCACTTCATTAGTTTTCCGGCAAAGTGAGATCTTAACAGGTTACTTCATGTTTGGGACATTGAAAGCTAAACCATTTACCAAACTTCTTAATAAAAAGCAACCTTGTCTTCAGGTTGGCATAACCCTAGGCCAAGAGATGTTCTTTCCTTGGCCATAGTCGCTTAATTGCAGAAGTTAGCAATGCACTGGACATTGCCACCATATTTGTTCTATTCGCACAATTGAGCTTAGTCTCAAGTTAGCACACCCCCATTCACAAGAAGGACGTAGTTAGATCATAGTTACTCGGTATGCACACCACATAGGCTTGTAATTTTTAAGGTCAACTAAGAGTTTGAAATGGATTACTTGCTTCATTTTTTTTTTTTTTGAAAAAACAATATTTTATACTAATTTTCACAAAGGGGAAGAGAAGAGTTTAAACACGGTATACAATGGATTGAAGATGAAGATCCTAACCTTTAGGGCAATCCGTCATTTACATTTTCTTTTTTAAGAGAAACACCAAGAAATGTAAAGGTAAATTATCATTCATCATCCTATTAAAAATCATCAACAAATTTTAATATTATCATTTCAAAGTCTATCTGTGCTTAGGGGTTTTGTGTCAAAGAATGTGATAGCTTGTGTTGCAAAGAGACAATAAAAAAATTTCACGTCCTCCATTTGTGAGTTAGCGAGGACTAGGCCTAAAGCATCCCGAAGGAAAAGCAAGTCCTCGTATGCTTTGTTGTTCTTTTAGCAGCTCATGAATGCTTGGTCTGGTGGTGAATGCTTTCGACGCTGATGAATTATTTCCCTTGGTGATGACAAATTATTTCCCTCAGCACTGAAGAAGTGTTTTCCCTCGGCACTAATTGTAACATCCCACATCGCCCAAGGAAGTAGATCCTATAAGCTTTATATGTATATTTTCATTTCTACCTAGCACGAGGCCTTTTGGGAGCTCACTGGCTTCGGGTTCCATCGGAACTTCGAAGTTAAGCGAGATCGGGCAAGAGCAATCCCAGGATGGGTGACCCACTGGGAAGTTCTTGTGTGAGTTCCCAGAAACAAAACCGTGAGGGCGTGGTCGAGACCCAAAACGGACAATATCGTGCTACGATGATGGAGCGGGCCCGGGATATGGTGGACCCCTGGGCCGGGATGTGACACTAATGAAGTGTTTTCTTAGGCATTAATGAAGTGTTTTCCCCCACTAGCTCCAGCGGCTTGGAGGGGTATTTGTTAAACTAACATTGGAAGTTAAAACAAATAGACTTGGCATGAGAGCTTGAGGTATGGAAGTTAAAGACCTATAAGTTTAGCGAATGAGATAGTATGATTCATTTTGGTGTAGTTAGACTGTCATTCTGGAGAAGGATTCATAAGAGATATCTCATAGTGGTTAAGCTTCTAGTCATGGTGGCAGGTTGAAGCTTTTAAGGTAAAAGATGAGTGGCGAAAGGTGAAAGTTTAGAGCTGGAGTTAGCTTACTAGAAGACTTGCAATAGTCAAGAAGAGGTTTCTACAGCAAGAAGAATGATTTCCTGTGGCAAAATGAATCTCTTCTTCCCTAAGCATGAGGTTGAAGAGACATGTTGGAAATGGTATGGTCTGTAGATTTGGCATTCTTGCAGTAAATGAAGGAAGACATTAAAGGAAAGAGAATGGAAAACTTAGGGCTAGGCTTGTGGCTGGTGCAGGAAGCTTGCAGCAGGTAAGAGTGATTTTCAGTAGTTAAGGGAGATGTTCGTCCTCATTGCTTGCAATTGAGCATAGTCTGTCTCTCCTGACTGTAATTGAATTGGTCTCTTCCATTCTTTCTGATATGGGTTTCCAATTTATATTAGGTGATGGTTATCCCTATTTTCTGTTGAATAAAAGGATGTGCTAGAAACAACTTGTCCCAACAGGTAAAACAAAGAACTGAAGTTGCATTATGTCCAGCAAACAAAATGGGGCACTGAAAGTAGCTTATTTCCAGCAGATAAAGAGATGTAAAGGTCAAAGATGATAAATACACTTTTGGTAGGAAATCATTAGATCTTTCCCTAATGGTGAAAGCCAAGTTGTGCTTACTTTTTCATTGAGCTAAAAAGTGAAACAGTTTGGTGTAAAGATTGGTTAACAGGAAGACAAGTTTTGGTGCTAGGAAAGGGTGACATACTTTGGTGATGGAAATAGTGAAATGCTTTGGAAATATAAGTTGTTGTGGAGTTAGGCTAATGACAGTGCATGGCTGAAGTAACGCGCAAAGAAATACCACATTACTTACTCATCATGAGATCATTCTAAAGGCTTGGACTAAGTAGGCCAAAGTCTCAAATATTGAAAAGCCTTCCATGGGCCATGTGGGCCTTTGTAACCTTCCACACTTAAACCCTCAAGCAAGCCCCATTAAGCCACATGTCTAGGGTCCATGTGAGCTTGGTAAATGTTGGGTTTAAAGGAATGTGCTTGGCGTGGCATGTTAATTAAATAAAACCTTGATTAGCGTGTAATATAAATTGGATTTGGCATGAAATTGCATGGACCGTATAGAACATTTAGGCCTTCAATCCTCTTGGGCCTTGCGTGACATTTTTGAGCCCCAATAATATGTAACTTATACGATATCATGTGGGACTAATATTATGTGGATGATTGAATTCAAGTAGAATTTAAATTGAGTTTGGCTTGTTGGATGGACAATGCATCAACCCAACTTAATAAATATTGGGGTTGAGGTGGGACTGGGCTCGGTATGGGGTTTACTTAATCTTACATGTCCAATCAAATTTAAAATTGAATTGAGCATGTACAGAGTTGTTGAGTTGGATTGGTCGAATTTAAGTAATAAACGCACAAAATAACGTGAGGGTAGTGTTATTAACACACCTATTTTTACTTCGGGTTGTCCTATTCACACACTTATTTTTACTTCTCACATCCCTTGTTAATTTTTGTCATTTGATCTTCTTCAATTCATCCAATCCGACGGCCGAAAATTAGAAGAGTGTGTGAGAAGTAAAAAAGGGTATGAATCACACCCCTTTTACTTCTAGATTAGAAATACACACTCTTTACAATGTTTGGGACCGAATAAACTGAAGAAGATCAACAATAAAAATTTAATAAGAATTTCTAAAAGGTAAAAATGAGGGTGTGAATTTTGAGAAATTTTAACGGGGTGATATGGAAGGAAAAAGATTCTCGCCAGATCCTTTTCTTGTGGACCCTAGGATCTCTTAATCATGATCGTTCAAAAATTATTTTAAAATTTAAAATTAAATATAAATAGTACCTAATAAAACTGAAACAACTTCACAATCACGGGACTGACCATAGAACGTAGAATGTAGAACGAACGGTCCACAATCACGGATCCCGCGACCCTTTTCCATCCCCCCATCCCCCACCGATTCTGCCATTCCCCCTCAGCGCTCTCCCTTTCTCCTTCCTTCTCTGTCTCTCTTCCCCTTTTTATTTCTTCTCTTTCTTGCGCCAGAATAAGAAGACGCCGACGGCCTCAACGGCTGATAGATCGGGATTGGTGACAGCGGAGAATCCCTGGGTCCCATGTAGTTCAAGTAGGAGTGGGCGAGAAAGGAAATTGAAACCAGAAGCTATTCATGGCCGCCAATCCCATTTCTCATAGACGAGCATTGGCACTCCTTAGACAGCAATTCTCCAGCCCTACCCTCAACTCTCAGCGAGCTTCTCTTCTCAGGTACGTCATCTCAAAACTTCTACTTTATTTTCTTTCCCGATTTTCTCACCAGCCAAACACAAACTTAACATCTTTCTGCAAAACCCAGGTGCCGTTCCTCTCAGAAAACCCAGAACCACAAAGACGATGAACAACTGCAGAACAATACCCAACGACCCAAATTGTCAACCCCCAAAACCAAAAGGGCTAAGGATATGGCCAAGCTTATCGACTCCATGCCGTGGTCAACTGAGCTCGAATCTTCTCTCTCTACAATCGCTTCCTCTCTCTCCAAAACGACAGTGCACCAAACTCTCCACCTTATCAAAGCCCCCAGCAAAGCCCTTCAATTTTTCAAGTGGGCGGAGGTAATGGGTTTCTCTCACAATGACCAATCCTACTTCTTGATGCTTGAAATCTTGGGTCGCAATCGAAATCTCAATGCTGCTCGAAATTTCTTGTTTTCGATTGAAAAGAAGTCTAATGGGGCAGTTAAGCTCGAGGACCGGTTCTTTAATAGCTTGATAAGGAACTACGGTCGAGCTGGGCTGTTCCAAGAATCTATAAAGCTTTTTAGTACAATGAAGTCGATTGGTGTTTCGCCTTCTGTTGTTTCGTTCAATAGTCTGCTGTTGATTTTGCTTAGAAAGGGGCGGACCAATATGGCCAAGAATGTGTATGATGAAATGGTTAGTATGTATGGAGCTACACCAGATACTTGTACGTTTAATACTTTGATTAGAGGGTTTTGTATGAACTCCATGGTTGATGAAGGTTTTCGCTTTTTCAAAGAAATGTCGCGTTTCAAATGTGATCCAGATGTCATTACCTATAATACTCTTGTTGATGGATTGTGTAGAGCAGGGAAGGTTGGTATTGCCCATAATGTGGTGAAGGGCATGAGTAAGAGAAGTGCAGATTTGAATCCAAATATTGTTACTTATACGACCTTGATTAGAGGTTATTGTATGAAACAAGAGATTGATGAGGCTTTATGTGTTTTGGAGGAGATGACTAGCCAAGGGTTGAAACCAAATGGAATTACCTGCAATACTCTAATTAAGGGGCTTTGTGAAGCGCATAAGCTAGATAAGATAAAAGACATTTTGGAAGGAACAATGAGCGGTGGAGAATTTACTCCTGATACTTGTACGTTTAACACACTGATGCATTCGCATTGCAATGCAGGAAACTTGGATGAAGCATTGAAGGTTTTTGCAAAGATGTCAGAGCTAAAGGTCCCACCAGATTCAGCTACATACAGTGTTTTGATACGCAGTTTGTGTCAACGAGGGGATTACAGTAGAGCAGAGGAGTTGTTCGATGAGCTATCAAAGAAAGAAATACTGTTAAGTGATGACGGTTGTAAGCCTCTTGTTGCCTCTTATAACCCTATTTTTGAGTATTTGTGTAGTAAGGGGAAAATTAAAAAGGCCGAGGCAGTGTTTAGGCAGCTAATGAGAAGAGGAACGCAAGACCCTGTGTCCTATAAGACTTTGATCATGGGCCATTGTAAGGAAGGTACATTTGAAACCGGGTATGAACTCCTAGTCTGGATGCTTAGAAGGGATTTTGTGCCTGATGTCGAAATTTATGAATCCTTGATTGGTGGTCTCTTGCAGAAGGGTAAGGCCCTTCTTGCTCAACAGACGCTAGAGAAGATGCTGAAAAGCTCTCATCTCCCAAAAACGTGTACATTCCATTGTATACTAGCAGAACTTTTAGAAAAGAATTGTGCCCTAGAATCTGCCAATTGTGTTATTTTAATGCTGGAGAGAAAAATTAGACAAAATATTAATCTCTCAACACATCTTGTAAGGCTACTTTTCAGCAGTGGGTTGCGTGACAAAGCATTTGACATTGTAGGGATGCTCCATAAGAATGGATACTCAATTAAAATGGAAGAAGTGGTTCATTTTCTTTGCCAGAGAAGAAAGCTGTTAGACGCATGCAAAATGTTGCAATTCAGTCTGCAGAAGCATCAAAGTGTCAGTATTGATATTTTCAACCAAGTCATCGAAGGGCTTTGTAATATCAATAAACCTTCAGAAGCATTTGGCTTGTACTATGAACTGGTTGAGAATGCAGGCTATCAGCAATTTCCCTGCTTAGGATCCTTAAAATCTGCACTAGAGATTGCAGGAAAATCAGTTGAAGCTGAGTTTCTATCTAAAGGGATGCCAGGAGAGCAGTCGCTAGACAAATCCCATAGGTCGAGACCTCAACTGTAAGTCCATTGTACTTATTACCCATTAAAGTTAGACAGAGCCCAAAAGAACACCAGAATACTCTTATCATGCATGGAATGTAATTTTCCGAATTCAGGGCTTTGTATCTTGACCCTTTAGGCAGATTTAAGCTTGGTGTATGTGCATGTAATGCCTTCAAAAAACAAATATCCAAGGATCTCAAACGTTTGGTGGTCTCTATGCATCCTCATATCATGCACTAGTGTCCTGTATAAGTTTAGAGTTTAGTACCCATTTGCAGTCCATACTTAATGTTTCATATTCTATGAATTCACCCTATTCTTTTGTTGTGCAGAGGAGCATGCTGAACAGAATGAATGTTATTGTTCTCAATATATGGAATGGGCCATCACATGGTTGTATAGTCTTGTGGAGTTTCCAGAAAAATTCCTTCGCATCGAAAGTTGTGTTCTTGGCATGGTACACGAGTTAAACTGCTTATCAAGCCCATCGTTCTGAGTGGCTCGAAGATTCTGGTAATTACTATTCCTTTCCGGGAACTACTTCTTCCACCAATGTCTATATTAAATGTTTATTTCATCTTCCATCTTTTGGAAACTTATAAAACCCAGTAATAGATTGCTTAATCATTTAAACTTAATGGATTTCTCTCCTTTGAGCTCCCAAGGATGAAGCATCCTAACTAACAAGGTTTGCAACTCACTGATTTTAGAGCTTGTTCATTTAAATCTCAAGAATTATTGTTTTGTCAGAGTTTAACTTCATCTAAGTTTCCAGTAACTAGAAAATGAATTTCTAGTATCTCTATCCTAAATCCTTTATGCTCCCCTACCGATTCGAATCCTTTCCTCTTTAACTTTCACCTTCCAGAGAACCTATGCACCTAATTTGAAGCCCTTCTTTTAAACAATTGCTTTCTTTCTTTCTCGCTGTATCAACGACATCTCTCTTTGTCAGGATTACACTTTGTTGTTGACATTGAACAAAACTCAGTCATTGAAGGAAGCTTTTTTTGTAAAAATTGAAATTGTTGATCGCATTCCCCTACAAAAACTTTACCGCCAGGCCGTTGACAGCTGGTGAATAAGCCTCTCAGCAATAATATGTCTGAGACATAATCTCCTAATTACTGATTGTTTAGTTTCTTCATATTGGCTGTTGTCGACATGGTATGTAGAAGCAACAATAACTTGACATGCAGAATCCAACTTTCCTTCGTTTTCATTGTGTGTTTAGGTGGAACATTTTTGTTACTGCTAACTGGTGGGTTTTTAAGATCATCTCGATCACGTCACAAACTTGTAAATACACTTGTTACCACCCTCGTCCTAAAACATCTTCTCAGCATTCAGCTAACCATTCTCTCTCAATTTCATCCAGACCCCCCGTCTCAACCATCAGCTCACATAGACATATACCGTCCATCCACACTCCAAATTGCATTGAACAAAACTCATGCCCAGTTAGAACTGCACCTGCTTGAAAATAAAAACCCACGAACAGTTGGCCCCTCAACGGAAAGTGCAGTGCATACAAAATGGACATGGCCAAGAATTGTGGAGTGAAATCACACAGATTGAGAGGGTGAAGCATGCCCTTGCTTTACTAACCAGAAAGCAGGCTGTAAGACCCAATATTCTTGGTGTTGCATTACTTTGTAAAATCTCTTTAATCCGCCACCTTACGTTTGTCAGGAGAAACTCTTAATCCTATCTTTGTTACAGGTGGTTAATATATTTCAACTTTGCATTACCTTATTATAAGATCTTATTCGTGTGTGCCGTTGGACGATTGGGCAAGTTCACCATTTAATCGCACACACAATCCCACCCCCTTGTGTTTGGTGCTAATGTACGAGTGTCTAGCTGGATAGATAATTTGATAAGCCAATGATTTTTTTTTCGTGTTTCAGAATACGGTTAACCGTGTTAGGGACTGAAGAATTTCTCACTTGTTAGGGGCACACGAAAATGCTTTTTTCAGATCATTCTATTTTGATTGTCAAGGCTCTAACAAGAAGGTACCCAATCCTTAACAGCTAGCCAATGTCTGGATGGCAAAAAACAAAAACAAAAAGGACAAAATGCTCTTTACTAATTGTATTGTTTCACCCTTTTACCAAACAAAAGAAAAGTAAAAGATTGTTCTGTTCCCCCCTTGGAACAGTCACAGATAAAATCACCAAACCACAATAAAATAGACATCTCTTCTTTTCATGCGACTCTCCCTTTGAAACCAACTCTTGTCCAACACCCACCAAAATCTCCCCTCTTATATGCACATTGCCTTTGAGCTCTCCCCAAACTCACAAAGCTTCCTTTTCTGAGCCTCCTCATCCTCGTAAAAGATATCGAAAGTCAAGAGAAAGGGTACTAATGGTTCTTCCGAGCAATACCATGCCCCAACTAGGTATGCTCCTACACCGGGGAAGGCAACTGTCCTTGCATTGGGCAAGGCTTTCCCGAGCCAACGCATCCCACAGGATTGCTTGGTCGAGGGCTACATTGGTGACATGAAATGTGAAGACGTCCCCATCAAGGAAAAACTGGAGCTCCTGTGTAAGCAAACTCCCTTATGTAATATATGTTTTAAGTTTCTTTCTGTACTTGCTTGTGTCTAAATTACTTTTTTGACTAAATCATAGAACTATTTGTACCATATTTATCAATTTCATTGATGGCTTCATTTTGCACCTCTGCAAGAGATATGGTTAAATAAATGTGGTATACATAATATGTACAGATTAGAAGCGTTATGTGATTATTTATTTATCTGTTTTTTAAGGCAAAACCACTACTTTGAAGACTGGATACACAGTGATGTCCAAGGAAATCCTAGACAAATACCCTGAGCTAGCAACAGAGGGCACAGCCACCATCAAACAGCGCCTCGAAATAGCAAACCCTGTGGTGGTTGAGATGGCTTTGGAAGCCAGCCTTGCTTGCATCAAGGAATGGGGAAGGCCTGTTGAAGATATCATTCACATTGTCTACGTATCCTCAAATGAAATCAGACTACCTGGCGGCGACCTATAACTCTCAAGCAAGCTCGGCCTAAGGAACGACGTTGGCCGCGTCATGCTCTACTTCCTAGGATTTTACGGTGGTGTCACTGGCCTCCGCATTTCCAAAGACATAGCTGAAAACTACCCAGGAAGTTGCGTCTTGCTAACCACTTCCGAGACCACAATCCTTGGTTTCTGGCCCCCCAACAAGGCGTGCCCTTACGACCTTGTAGGGGCAGCGCTATTCGGGGACGGGGCTGCAGCTGTGATCATTGGTAGCAACCCAATAGCAGGGCAAGAGTCTCCTTTCATGGAGCTCAACTATGCCGTCCAGCAGTTCCTCGCGGAGACACACAATGTGATCGACGGCAGGCTGTTCGAGGAAGGTATTAACTTCAAGCTTGGGAGGGACCTGCCTCAGAAAATCGACCAAAACATAGAGGTGTTTTGCAAGAAGCTGGTTGTGGCGGCCAATGCGGAGCTGAGGGACTTCAATGAGCTGTTTTGGGCAGTGCACCCGGGCGGACCGGCAATTCTGAACAAGCTGGAGAGCACGCTAAAGCGGAGCAGTGATAAGCTTGAGAGCAGCAGGAGGGCATTGATGGACTATGGGAATGTGAGCAGCAACACCATTTTTTATGTGATGGAAAATATGAGGGAGGAGTTGGAGTTGAAGTTGAAGAAAAAGGTGCGGAGGGAAGAGGAATGTTGACTTGCCTTGGCATTTGGACCTGGGATCACGTTTGAAGGCATTCTCCTTCGCAGCCTCTAGTGGTGTGAAATGTCTCAAAATGCTAGGAGTGTTGTGCATGTTGAACGGGACACTACGGATACAGAAATATGATACGCTGTTAGAATTTGGTTAATGAAATGGGGTTGTTTAAATTTAAGTTAATTTGGTCATTTCAATGAAATGGGGTTGTTCGAAGTATAATGAAGATTAGTGTTGTTTTTTTCTTTAAACTCTGTTTTTATGTTTTTTTTCTTTTTTTTGGCTATGGAGAAAAGGAATTTGTGTCCAAATCCATTGGCTATGGCATGAAGTTTATGAATTCTTCTGCAATTTATAAAAGCAAGAAATGAAAAAGAATACCTCATCCCTAATAATTTTATGTTTTAATTCTACTTTGTCTTTTAATTTGACAATTTTAAACGTAACACGTTAACATGACTCACAATCTATCGCTCAGCTGATTACCAATTAGCTTTTATATACAGTCAACTCAGCTGAGTGAGCTCTAACTGGTAATCAGCCTACGGTAGAGCTACTCATTGATGATGTTGTTTGATACTTCGGAACTATAAACCAATATTCAGGCGGTATGATTTCTGATACCGAACAAATGCTAATATCTGGGAATGATACCTTTGTGCTAGAACGCATGTTCACAATTTCAGGGTAATGAACAATATCAAAATATTATAAATGCGTTAATTAGTGGCACGACTAATAGATTGATTAACAGTGACTACCTTAGCCGAAGAAATTAAAATCGTGGAAACTTGAGGGCAAGCCTTGTAGGAGAATAGTAAACCCATAGTAATGACAACGACATTAACCACTAATCAGTCATTTTATTCATGTTTGTTCAAATACTTCAATCACATGGTACCTTAGTTGGGTATGTCTCAAGAATTCCAATGCCACTAGGCAAGTCTGTTATGTCCTGCATGAGTGCAATGATTGCACTGTTTTCATTACCAATCCAATAATGCCAATTAATCTTATTTCGTTGGATTTCATGGATTTCCATGTAATCCAAGAGATGGATCAACTACATTATTATTATTCCTTTGGTAGAGCATTGACCGAAAGTAATCATTTTTCGACAACCTACCATCCCTATTATCAGCCCTACTAGCAAACCTCAGAAATTGAAGAACAAATTAATCCCTGCTATAAAGGCGGAACATTTATTGAGAAAGGTTTTGAAGGCTTATTAGCACATGTTGTAGAGGAAGACGACAATCTGGTACAGCTTGAAATTGTGAACCAAATCAAACTGAATTCCTGACATCATTCCTAAATATCTACCTATGATACCACTAAAGTGAGATGTGTGAGGCACCATTGATCTATGTTAAAATATAACACCTATTTTCCTTGAACCTTCATCGTAAAGACCTCTGCTTCTATTCTTGAAGAGCAAAGACCGAACCTTAAGATTGTACATTGTTTACTAGCAATTCAATTGGGTGACGATTAAAATCATTAACCCATGTCTTGAATTGAAGATCTCTCTGACCAACTCTATGGAGCCCGAGCTTTCTTCGAGATTCATCTGAAGTTTGGTTGCGATCAGCTGAAGATCAGAAATGATGATGTTCCTAAGACTGCGTTCAGGACTCGACATGTTCATTATGAGTTCCTCGTGATGTCATGCAGGTTGGCAAATGCTCCAATATCATTTATGAACCTGACGAACCGTGCATTCTATCCATGTCCCGAAAGATTCATAATAACCATATTGAGACCTTGTTTACTCCAATAATGAAGTCAAACTTTCTAGACACCGATGATTTGATCCTAGTAATTTCAAGCAAATCAGCTTTAACTAAATTCCTTCAATGCCAGTTTTGTTTAGATCATATTTCTTTTTGGAGACGTGAGCTCAGCAAACGACATTCTTGTCAATCCCCAAAAATGTTGTAGTTGAAGAAAAATTGGAACTATTACATGGTTTTGCGAAATATAAGGTATCCTTGGTCTCGTCGATTACCATTGACATTCTGTGCTAACTTTCTCCACCTTAGCCTTATTCCTTACAAGTTGACCAGGAAAGAAATTTGTTTCACTTGAGATGTTAAGGTGATTAAGTTCTGACAATTGAGATGTTGTCTCTTTCCGACTATTGTTCCTACACTTCTCAATGACACCAGTAATTTCAGAAATTGCAGTAACACTTCACTGGATGATCTAGTTGCGTGCTATGCGGCATGGTCGGGTAACCGCTTATGCCCCAATAACTGGAATGAAATTCTAGTGGTGGGTTTCGTACATGGGTGAGTTGCATGAGAACTTCTTGGCTTCATTACAGGCAAGTGGAAGATTTAATATTATTTTGTTTGGGTTTCACCCTACTTTCCTACTCCATCAAACACCACCATTACTTTTTGTTAAATCTCTCTCACTTCCTCTCTCATGTCCCATCCCCCTAATTTTATCTTGTTTCTTCTCCCCATGTCAACCAATTCTCTTCCACGCCTCACCCTTTTTTTTCCCATTTTCAGTCATTCCCCCTTCTCTCTTTCTCACTCTTTTCACCTTTTTCACTCATTCACATATCTCCCTCTCTCTCTCTACCCATTCAACTTTCCCTCTCTCGGCTCAACCCAGGCAGCCACCATACCACCTCCAAACACAGCCCAAACTCAATGAAAAATCACCTAAGCTTCTAGAACTCGACCCTATACTCGAAAAAACAAGAAATCTAGAGAAAACGAAGAAAATTTAAGATCGAAACCCAGCGAACCGAAGTCCTTCATCTCAATAAGAGGAACCTCCCCCCTCTAAAACTTAATTTATGGACTTTTCTAGTGCGTTTTAAAAGCTTGCATGCAAGTTTCTATGCATTTAGAAGTGTGTTTAACTAACCACCATCTTTTCGACGAGTTTCGTAAGTCCTTGGGTGGAACCCAACCAAATCACGTTGATTTGGTCGAGTTTGAAATTACAAATTCCTTCCTGAGGTCCAAAGTACTAGGTTCGAGTATTGCATGTTTGAATCTTCTAAGTTGGGGCGAAACTCAAGTATGGTCGAGAGCCCTTGGCATTTTCTGATCACCTTCGCCCAACTTTTGGTTCCCATAGATAGAGGTATAGAAACGTTCTCCTTGTCCTAAGCTTCATTTTGATACCTCTTGTGTGAAAAATAGTTGAGAAATGACTATGTTGTGTTACTTTAGAAATTTCCAATGAAAATCCTTTTCAAGTCCATGAGAATCCGACGAAATTCGACTTTCCTAGCCACCTGGGGCTTTAATTTTGGTATGCTTCTATTCCCATTGTTTCCCACTTCAAATTCATATAGTATGCTTGTTTGGTGGGAAATTTTAGAAAAAAAAATGATGTTGTTGTACTGTTTTTACAACAGGGACCAAACTGCAAGAATTGTTGAAACTTTCGGGCTGTTTGGTAATTCGAAGAAGTTAGGGGAATTTTTTGCAGTTACCTCTAGTTTTAGGGGAAATTCTGTAAAATATGAAATTTGGACAGATTATAGTTAATATGTCCATATTGGGTATGATTTATGTTTAAGTACTTTGCTAAAGTCAAAGTGACTTGGTATAGGTACAAGCTTATTTGGATCGACAAACGACAAGGCTCACCAAGGGCGTGCACGCTTTGGTTATGTGAGTGGGTCTTTATATATATATATATATATATATATATATATATATATATATGTATATGTATATGTATATGTGATTTTCCCAACAACTGCTTTTATATACTATGATGTGACATGCCATGTATAGCTTTACAAATAGAATTTTCGTACACTTTATGTTTTTAATATTATTTATGAGCATAAACTTATGGCATGACATCCTTGCGCTTTACCTGCTCATTATTACATGTTTGCACGGTGTCACTTAGTTATTTGTACTGTCTTGGGCCAAGGACCAGCTTCACATGTAGTTCACATGCATCGTTTACATTCGCTTTAGATCTAGAGTTAGATGTCAGCCTGTCCTTTTGTGTGATGTTTTGGACTCATAAGTGATGTGACTAGCGCAGCTCACGTGATGTAGTACTAAAATGTAAAACCTACACCAGCTTGTTCCATTGTTTGAATATCTCTGCAATGGACTTGTGTGCCTACATAAATTAATGAGCATTGAATTCTTATAAAAACGGTTTGAGATTTAATGTTGTGATACTTTATTGTCGTACCCTACATCTTGACTCACTTCTGCTACAGGGTACCTACTACATACTATTATTATAATATTTTTGGGAAACCATATACTTGTTTTACAGCGAGGGGTTACACTTTTCGAAAAGGTTTTACAAAACTTTATTTTCAGACCCACTCACCCTTGTTTTTCGCCCCTTCAGGATTTTAGTGGCAGATGTTTCATGACGACGAGGATTGTTGGTAAAAGTTGTTATGTAAGAGACTTCTCATTTTGGTGTAAATATCTTTACTCTTCTTTTACTGCAATTTATCTATGCTCTGACATTACTTGTGTGATATGAATTCAATTCCGCTCACATGCGCACTTTAGATTATTCACTTTTAGGTTTTAATTTATTCACATTTTTCACATCACTACACTTTATGGCTTCGTCGCCTTCCAAGTGTCGGCCAACACATCGTGATTCTAGTGTCTAGGTGGACATTCCAGGTTAGAGTGTGTCATAATCAACATGTGAGTCAACACGAAGACGATAAAACCTGCGAATGCGTCGGCATGATTGTTCTCTCATCTTGGTATTTTCATGATCTCACACTTCTCGATTGTTTAGGTAGAGTCTCATGGTAGGGTAATGAACGACATAGTTCCCATAACCTGATTAACTATGAGCATCGAGTCACAATGAATAACAATGTTTTTATCTGAAGTTCCTTTGCGACTTTGAGTCTGGCTAGGGGGGCTTCGTACTCTGCTTCATTGTTGCTTGCCTTGAATCCTAATTTCAAAGTTTTTTTAGCATAGATATATTCGGTGTTTGCAGCACCATTCATGTGCTAGCTCCGTTAATGTTGGACGACTCGTCCACATAGAGTTTCCAGATGCGAGGGTTTTCTAGGGGCTTTGAGAACTTGTTGCCTCTATGGTACTTTGCGGTGCAAAAGTGAATTTTACCATGAAGTTTGCTAAGGCTTGGGCTTTTATTAATGTCTTGGGACAATAGATTATTTCGTGCTGCCCTAGTTCAATAGTCCACTTCATGACTCTAGATGAAGCGTCAAGGTTGTGCAGGATGGACCTGAGCAGGTACTGTATCATTCAGA